AACCAATCTGGATATAAAAGCAGTGCTCTTAGGGCTTTAGTTAATTTTATGCACAGAAACAATTTTGGCTACATTGCTTTTTTTTGTTTTTCTGTTTTTTGAGACAGGGTCTCCTTGTAGTGCTTTTTAATTTAAAAGTTTATTATTGGTATTATTATTATTATTATTATTATTATTATTAGTGTGTGTGTGTGTGTGTGTGTGTGTGTGTGTAAATGCATGTGTGCCATGGAATATCTGTAATCAGAGGATAACTTTTAGGAGTCCATTCTCTCTTCCTACCATGAGTTCTGGGTATCAAACTCAGGATATCATGTATCTACAGCAAGTGCTTTTACCTGGTGAGTCATCTTGCCATCCCTTTAATTTTAATTAAAAAATATATTGCCACAAGGTTTCCATGTGCCAATAAATGTTTCTTCTTTTACAAAGACATCACTGTCCTTCAGAGGGACATGGGAGAGATACAACTCAGCCCAGGGAAGTTTCCCTTCACTAAATTGTTACCTTAGATACTGCTTTAAACATTTAAAAAATACTTTATTATTTTAATTTTATGTGTATGTGTGTATTGCCTGCATGTAGGTAAGTGCACCCCTGTTGTGCACTTACCTACATGCTCATGGAGGACAGAAGGGGCTTCCAGATCCCCTGGAACTGGACTTACGGACAGTTGTTAGCTGTCATGTGCTGGGATTCAAACCCCAGTCTTCTGCAAGAACAGTCAGTGTTCTTAACCACTGAGCCATCTCTCTAGCTCCTGCTTTAAACTTTTAAAAGGGAAGAAAAAAGATTTTTACCATATAAAACGAATGGGCAAATAGGCAAAAGGTGAGAATTCCCATAAATCATTGCTATTCCAAAAAGGCAGGAGGTACGACACAGTGAGATGCTGTTCAGAGTGAGACAGGAGGGATGTACTGGGACACATGGGCTCTCCAGGTGCTGGGACAGTGCATTATCAAGGGTTCTTTGCTTTCGTCATACATTAATAACAGCCTGGAGATGCTAGCTATGTGTTCTTCTAGATGCGAAAAATGCTTACATTAGAGATCTGGAGCACCTTGGTGGGGTCTGCCTATGAAATGGCCAGTGGACTTTGTAGCAATCTAGTCTTGAGTAAAATTAAAGCTTAATTTTTGGTAATCATTGACAGCTATGTTTGTAATAAATAATGAAAACAGGCCCTAACCTAGAGGGTCACAAATTCTGGATTTGAATAAACTTATTTTAGGCTTTGGTGTGTTATTATTTGAGCACTCAAAGTGGTTTTTTTACCAGCAGCCTGTAAGTAAAACAAACCTTTAAACTTGCTCCCTGTTCAACCAACAGTGTCAGTTTGTGGGATAATGTCTGACAGGCTTTTGAGTTCCTTAGAAGAAAAACCTCTCAAAAGAACAAAGGATCAGTATGGGTTATGAAGCAGCTGTTAAGACGTTCTGTCAGACAGAGGCCAGACAGATGAAATTGGCTTAGAGAGGGTACTGTCTAGACATATTGTTTTCTTCCAGCCACTTTTAACAAGATATTTCTCTATTTGAGTGCTGGGCATACTACTTAATATCACCTTGAAGCCATTTGGCACTGTTATCTGACATGCAGTTTAATGCTTTAGAGCTCTCTCTCTTTCTCCCACCCCCCCACCTCCACGCCCCAAGACAGAGTGACTTCAGATTCCTTAGGTAGCCAAGGATGGACTTGAACTTCTGATCCCCCTGCCTTCACCTCCCAAGTGCTGGGATTACAGGAGTATGCCACTACACTAGTTTTATGCAGTGCTATGTATCAAACCTAGAGCTTCGTGAATGCTAGGCAAACACTCTATCAACTGAGCTACATCCCCAGCCCAACATTTTTCACTTTTAACTGTTTCAGTTCATCTCAATCCCAGCAATTCAAAATGGGGCAGTGTCCTAGTCCCTATTGTATGCCAGGGTGTCTTTCTTTCTTTCTTTCTTTCTTTCTTGCTTGCTTGCTTGCTTGCTTGCTTGCTTGCTTGCTTGCTTGCTTGGTTTTTTGAGAGAGGGACTCACTATGTATTGCTGGCCAGCCTGGAGGCTGATGTTTATCCATATCGTACCCAAATATCAAGGCCAAGCTGGTCTTGAACTCACAAGAGCCACCTGTCTGCCTCCAGAGTGCTGAGATTAAGGGCGTGTGTCACTATGCCTGGTTAGATGCAAGAATTCTTGATGGTTGATGTTCCCACTCCCACCCCCAGTGCTGCAAACTACACTGTTACTGTTGGGAATTAGGGAGCAATCAGTGTCAAATCAGCTTGAAGAAAGACAGACAGGTCTGAGCATACACTTTTCAGTCCAGGGACAAGACCAGAAGAACTTTGCAGGCTGACCCTCTGAATCTTCCCTTCTCAGGTTGTAGTCTTTTAAAGGGATTGTCAGCACAAATTCAGCTTTAAACCTTTGAGCATTGTCACTAGGTGTTGATATGCTGGGTATATCTGCTGTAAACCAATCTTGATTGCCCCAGGCTTGGGCTGGACCACTATCCTTTCTGTCCAAACCTACCCTCTTGTTGATCTCAGTCAACCTGAAGGCTTGAAGTATTATTTACAAACTGATAACTTCCTACTTTTGACCTTCCCTGGACTTCCAGCCTTGACATTTGGTTGGTTTTCTGAGGCATGGTCATCACACAGTATGTCTTGAATAAGATTCTGGATTTGGCTCTTTATCTTTGCATTCCATTTTGATGATGTGGGATCTCCCTCCTGTGTCTCACATGCTAATTATCAGTAAGGCTCATCTTTACATTACAGCATCACTTCTCACCAGCTCTGCATCATCATAGTTTCAGGTACCATCACCCATTCACTAAGTTCTAAGCACCTCTTAATGGGTTACTCTCCTCGATCTGCTCAGACATAGCTTTTTGCCAACCGATAACCAGAGTTATTGTGAAAAGTTGTACATCAGATCTAGCCCCTGACTATTTCCCCCTCCCCCAATTCCTATGCTCTTTCTATAACACCTACTTCCTCAGTCCTCAGTGACTTCTTTGCTAGTCTTTGAACACAACATTATCCACACCTACCTTAAGCCTCTTGCTATTCCCTCTGCTGGGAATACTCTCTGTAGATATTGACCTCAGTTAAACAAGAGAATTTGTTATTTTCGTACATGCTCTGTTCAATCCTTATCTTATCAGAAAAGCTTTCTTCAGTCTCAGCATCTAAAATAACAGCATCTGGTATTTTCTATCTTCTTGACAGTTTTCATCAGAGCATCTTTCTCTGTACCTGCTGTTATATCCATTTGTTGCTGTATGTCTCCTTGAGGGGCAAAACTGCTTATTGAAACTAGAAATTGTATCCCTAGTGCCAGGGGCAGCAACCATCATGTGTTCAATAAATATCTGTTGAATTTTCAGTACAGTGACTTACATTAAATCCTACAAAATTAAGGCTTATATAAGAACAAAAATGTATAATTTTTTGTGGTGCTGGGACTTGAGCTCAGAGCCTTGTACATGCTAGTCATGTGCTTTATCACTAAGCTCACAAGAGTGAAGAGTTTTAATACTTTTTTTGATTTATTTTTATTTTATGTGTATGAGTGTTTTGCCTATGTGTGTTGTGTACTCCTGTTGTGCAATGCCTGTGGAGGCCAGAAGAGGGCGCTGGATCCCCAGGAACTGAAGTTACAGATGGTTTTTAGTTGCTATGTGGGTGCTGGGAATTGAGCCCAAGTCCTCTGCAAGAGCAGCCAATGCTCTTAACTGCTGAGCATCTCTCCAGCCCCAAGGGAACAATTCTTTTTTAACATTTTTTAAAAAATATTTTATTATTTTTATTTTATATGTATGAGTATTATCCCTGCATATGTATAACTCCACCTGTGTTGTGCAGTGTCCATGGAGGACAGAAAAGGGCATTGGATTCCCTGGAACTGGAGTTATGAGTGGTTGTTAGCTACCATGTGGGTGCTGGGAGTCGAACCTGGGTCTTCTGCAAGAACAGCCAGTGCCCTTAACTGCTGAGCCATCTCTTCAGTCCTGGGAATAGGTTTTTTTTTTTAAAGTTCTGTTGGTATGTCAGTGTAATTTCTAACAGATAAACTTTTTATGACCTCAAGGAAACAGAAATGAAGATGGTTCTGGTCTTGAAAAGATAAATTACATAAATTAGCTAATAACAATTTATAGTACCTGAACTTTAACTCCTAATAAAATGGTGTTTCATCTGACATAACTGTGGTATTGAAAGCTTAAAACCTGGGTTATACACCAGGTACATAATCTCACAAAACTCGTACCTCCCAACATCAATTATAAAAATTGTTTTTAGCTGGGTGTGGTGGCGTGTGCCTTTAATTCCAGCACCTGGGAGGCAGAGGCAGTTGGATCTCTCTGAGATGGAAGCCAGCCTGGTCTACACAGCAAGTTCTAGGCCAGTGAGATCCTGTCTCAGACCAAAAAAATTGGTTTTAAAAGGCAAGCTTGGGCCAGGCGTGGTGACGCATGCCTTTAATCCCAGCACTTGGGAGGCAGAGGCAGGCGGATCTTTGTGAGTTCAAGGCCAGCCTGGTCTACATAGTGAGTTCCAGGACAGCTGGGGCTACAAGGGGACCCTGTCTCAAAAAACAAAACAAACAAACAAACAAAAAGGATGCATTGAATAGACTGGAAGAACATACGTTAAAAAAAAAAAAGGCAAGCTTGGGGCTTGGAGAGAAGACTCAGCAGTTAACATCACTGCCTGCTCTTGCAAAGGACTGGGGTTCAGTTCCTAGCACCCAAATGGCAGCTAACAACCGTCTGTAATGCCAGTTCCAGGGGATCTGACACCCTATTCTGGCCTCTGAGGGCATTGCATGAATGTGGTACATTTACATGCATGCAGGCAAAGCCCCATACACATAAAATAAAATAAATAAAAAGCAACCACATTTATTTCATAGTGTTTGTAGCATCTAAAATATTCACTCGAGTATATGCACACTGCATATCTTTAAGTTTCTCTTTGACTTCTCTTTGCCTAGAAGAAGAGGATGAGGATGAAGAGGATGAAGAAGATGAAGAGGAGGAAGATGAGGAGGAAGATGAGGAAGATAAAGATGCAGACTCTTTGGTTGAGAACTTCGATGGTGACACTGAGCTGCCAGGATTTACTGTCCCTGGCATCACATCCCAGGAACCTGATATAGAGCCAGGAAGCCTGGATCTTCTGGAGAGAGCCACCTATCAGGTGCCAGACGCCATTGAGTGGGAACAGCAGAATCAAGGCTTGGGTAAGAGGCGTTTGTCTTTCCCTTTCCTTTCTCCCTCGCCTCTTTTTACCTTTCTAAAGCTCAGTGTCCTTCTCTTGGCACCTGTCATAGAGAAAATGTCTACAGGTGGTTCATTAGTCAGAAAACTGTCAGTTATTTCCTAGAGAAGTTTGGATTTATGAGTCTGGTTACCTGATCTTGGAAGGCGTTCCATTTTTCCTTCCCAACTGGATGATGGCTTTTGGAAGACTTCCAAATGGGAAGGAGATACACATAACCAACCAAGATGAAAGCACACATGGACTGGTGTCAAGAAGTGAAAGGATTTTTTCATCCTTTGTCCTGTTAGAATTTATTCCCTAGGGAAAGTTCTTGCCCTGGTAGTAGGTGAGCATTCTGGCAGTCCCGGGATCGATCCCTCCCTCCGTTCCTCCCTCCCTCCTCCTTTCCTCCCTTCCTCCCTCCCTTCTTTTTTTGAGACAAGATCTCACTGTTTTGCCCTGGCTGGCCTGGAACTCACAGAGATCTGCCTGCCTCTTCTCCTGAGTGCTGGTATTAAAGGTACATGCTACCATGCCCACCTTTGGATTTTTCTGTTCATTGTAAACACACTCTCTGCAGTTATGCATCTTGACTTATGCTTCTTTCTTGGGCATGGCCTGGGTTGCTGTGAGAGACTCTGAGTGTGCAGTCTTGACTCTTTCTCTGTACTTCCTTTCCTGTCATAAAGGAAGCTCCCCAATGCATCCTTTGCCTTTAGTTGGGGGTGGGCACTATTAAGTACTGAATGAGAGGCTCTCTCTGTTGCTATTCTGTGAATGACGTCTTCTCTAAAGAGATCAGTTTTTTTTTTTTTTTCGGTCTTTTTGGGACAGGGTCTCCCTGTAGCCCCAGCTGTCCTGGAACTCGCTATGTAGACCAGGCTGGCCTCAAACTCACAGAGATCCATCTGCCTCTGCTTCCAGAGTGCTGGAATTAAAGGTGTGTGCCACCATGCCCCGCTAAGAGGTCAGTTTTTTAAAAAATATTTTATTGCCGGGTGTGGTGGCACACGCCTTTAATCCCAGCACTTGGGAGATAGAGGCAGGCAGATCTCTGTGAGTTCAAGGCCAGCCTGGTCTACATAGCGAGTTCCAGGACAGCTGGGGCTACAGGGAGACCCTGTCTCAAAAAAGGCCAAAATTTTTTTTAATTATTTTTATTTTACGTGTATGAATGTTATGCCTACATGTAAGTAAGTGCACCCGTGTTGTGCAATGCCCGTGGAGGCTGACGGATACCTTGGAACTGGAGTTACAGACAGTTGTTAGCTGCCATGTGGGTGCTGGGATTCGAACCTGGGTCTTCTGCAAGAACAATCAGTGTTCTTAACTGCTGAACCATCTCTCCAGCCCCAAGAGGTCAGTTTTTAAACAGTAGGGTAAGACATTAAGTGTAAGAGTCATATAACAAGATTTGGAGGTTTTCACTAAAAATTTGAATGTTGGTTTAGGACTCTGCTCTGGATATAATTCTGGGATTATCATCCTATAGGTTGTCATAAAAATTATGGTTAAAGTGTAGCTGTGATTTCCTGTGGAATATGCACACAGTTAGGAGAGCACATAATAATGAAAGACTTTCCAGAGCATGGCCAGAAGGTATGACTTTGCTTGCAGTGCTTACTGAATTATTTTCTGAACAAATGCAGCATGTATTGGGCCATAATTACTTAAAATATGTTATACAGGCTGTTAAAAGCTTATAAAGGTATAAAAATATAAAACACAAAATAATATGAACATTGGTCTGCAAACAAGTAAAAATATTTTGAAATGCTTCTGACAGATTTGAAATGAATAAAATAAAATACAAAAATGTAAATAGAATTTGTTACAAAGTAGGCTAATGTGGTAGTTTGAATGAGAAATGTCCTCCACAGGCTCATGTATTTAAACACTGGTCCCCTGTTGGCAGTGCTGTTTGGGAAAGTCATGGAACCTTTAGGGGGTGGAGCCTGGCTGGAGGAGGGATGCCACTGGGGGCAGGCTTTGGAGGTTTGTAGCCCTGCCCCATTTCCTGTTTGTTCTCTCTGATGTGTTTTTGTGGTTGCAGCTCTCTCTTCTGGCTGTAGTTGCCATGCCTCCCCTGCCATTATGGACTTATCCCTCTGGAACCATATGTCAAAATGAACTCTTCCATAAGTTGCTTTTGGTTATGGTGTTTTATTGTAGCAACAAAAAGTAACTAATACAGCTAAAAACAAATACAAAATCTATACATGAGGTGATTCTCCAGGTGGTGGCTTTTATAATACAAAAGTGTTATAGAGTTAAATAAGTATAATGGTTTGAATATGAAATATGTCCCACAGGCCCATGAGTTGAACGCTTGGTCCCTAACTGGTGGTACTATTTTAGGAGTTACTTGAAACTTTAGCAGATGGAGCCTAGTGAGGGGAAATAGGTCACTGGGGGTGTACTTCGGAGGGCTATACCTGGTTCTCAGTTCCTTCCTTTTCTCTGCTTCCTGTTTACCATGATATAAGCTGCTTCATCATGCTTCCCTGCCATGATGCACTGAACCCCCTGAAACCAGGAACACAAATAAATCTTTCCTTCTTTAAATTATCTCTATCAGGGATTCTGTGATAGCCACAAGAAAAGTAACTAATGCAGCAGTCTTTTCCATGTGACTGGGATGAATATTTGAGACTTTGCTAGAGAGAAAAGAGAGAGAAAGATTACCTTCATAGAGAGTAAGAAGGCTGGTCAGGAATAGTGGCTGACATCCCAACACTTGGAAGGCTGAGGCAGGAAGGTTGCAAGTTTGAGGCCAGTCTGGAATATGTAGCCAGTTGGAGACTGGGCTGGGCTCCATAGCTAGATCTTATCTACAAACCCCAAACTAAGAAAAATAAATTAATAAACAGAATTAAATAGACATCTACCCCTGAACTGTGGTCAAGGAAACAAGCTTTCTTCACTTAGGAAGTGGATTTACTATCTGTGAATAACTACAAGCTACTGGAGGGACTATGGAGCTTAGGAAAAGATAGAGAGACTTAATTTCAAAGCTGCAATGATCATTTGAGTCGTAGTCTAATCATGTTCCTCAACACAAAGTTACTATTGAATAGGAGTCAAAAACTTAAGAAATCTATTTTATTGAATTATGTATTACATACAATAAACTGTACCCACTTAAAAATGAAAAATTTTTGGTTATGTTTTGAGACAGGACCTCTGTATGTAGCCCAGGCTAGTCTTAGACTCGAGGTCCTTATCGTTCAAGTACTGGAATTACAGGTGTGTGCTACTTCATTTAACCAGTTCAGTGGGCTTGCCGGTTGTCACCTATGCCCTTTCTTCACAATCACATGCAGAACATTTCTATCAACCCACCTCATGCCCTCTGCTCCAAGATTTAAAGATTAATATATATATATTTATATTTATGTGTATGCATCCTCATGTGTATACCACATGTGTTTGGGTACCCATGGAAGCCAGAAGAAAGTGTTGGATCCCCTAGAGCTGGAGTTACAGGCAGTTGTAAGCTGCTGGAGGTGGGTGTTGGGAACTGAGCTTGAGTTCTCTAGAAAAGCAAGTGCTCTTAGTTTGTGAGTCATTTCTCCAGCCCCTTTAGATTTATTTTATTATTATTATTGTGTGTATGTGTGTGGGAGGCTGCGGATGTGCCACGATGTGCGTGTGGAGGTCAGAGGACAAGTTAATGGATTCTGTTTTCTCTTCCTTCCATTCTTTTATGTGTGTTCTGGGAATCGAACTCAGGTCACTAGGTTTGTGTGGCAAGCACCTTTACCTGATGATCCATTTCTCTGGCCCCTACTGATCTACTTTTGTCTGTATAGCCTAGTTTACATTCTTAAGAATTTTATGTGAATGGACTATGTACAGTATTGCTGCACTAACTTTTCATGGGGAGACTTGAACACACATTTACTCATTCTTGACATGACACCAACAACAGACTAAAGGAATAATTCCACTGAAGTACAGACTGATGAACCAATGGGCTTACTCACAGGTGTATGAATGACCCCCAAACAGCCACATCACTGAAAAGTTTCACCCCAGCAGGTGACTACCTCCCAAATGCTGCATAGATGGAGTTCCCCCCTTAAGTTAACCTGACGCCCCCTACATATTGGTCTCCAAAGACTATGTGCTGCTGGAACAGAATTACAGCTGGGAGGGAGGTGCAGGATGGAGTGAATGGCTGGAATCTCAGGTGATGGTCTAATGACCCTTCCCGCTCTTTCTGTGAGGGATCCTCAGCAGGCTGGATCTTATTGAGGACCACCTACAGGCAATCACACATGCTCTGATTAAGATGGTAATGGCTGTGTTATGCCTGGGGGACGGTGTTCCCCATGACGTACCTTTTTATGTTGGACTTCTTTCACTTACTGCAGTGATTTCTGAGATTCAGCTATGTCAAGTACTGGGATTACAGGTGTGTGCCACTTCATTTAACCAGTTCAGTGGGCTTGCATCAGCAGTTTGTTCCTTGTTATAGGTGGTTGTATTTGATTGTGTGGATATGCCATATTTATTCTAGGTACCCATTGATGAATGATTGAGTCATTGACAATTTGAGGGTAATAGCAACTGAATTTTTTTTTTTTTTTTGTCTTTTTGACACAGGGTCTCCCTGTAGCCCAGCTGCCCTGGAACTCCCTATGCAGATGAGGCTGGCCTCAAACTCACAGAGATCAGCCTGCCTCTGCCTCCCAAGTGCTGGGATTAAAGGCATGTGCCACCACTCCTGGCTTGCAATTGAATTTTTAAGGTGTTATCAGGCATAAGGCTTGGGAAAAATAACTCTGCTGTCCTTCTGTCCTGTTTTCTGCTTCCAGCGCCCAATCAGAATGAAAGTTTCATACATTAGTGATGTTCATTTAGTGATTTGTTACCTTTTCAAAAGAATTTAAAATTGTGTGTGTGTGTGTGTGTGTGTGTGTGTGTGTGTGTGTGTGTGTGTGTGTTTGGTGTGCCACAGCCCACATGTGAAGATCA